ACTATATATATAAAAAAAAACCCAACCCAATGAAGAAGTGCTGTAACTTAGCAGAAGAGAACAAGCTTTAGTGTAAGCCAATTTGGATGATTTGGATCATCAGCAAAAAGACTACACTTTCTTTTCCAGGTTGGTGTCAGGTAACTCTACTGCAGTATCCTAGAGAAAATGGATAAATTCCAACAAGGGAAATGCGAATGCATTCAGCTGGAGATGCTTCAGTTGCTGCAGCACCATGACCAGAATCTAATTAAAGACAAAAGCTAAAAGAAACCCCAAGTACACAAACCATCTTCATGCTGTATAAAGTATACCTGCTGCTACCAAAGAAAGTGAATCCGCTTAATTTTTTCTTGCCAATAAAGATTCTCAAGGTTTCAAGTTTCTAATGCACTTACTGCTTGATGCTGCAAGTCACTGAGCTCTTCTGGCAACCCTCCCACCTCAAATGATTTTCACTTGATTACCTTCCAAATTTCTTTTTAAAAAATCAGCTGGGATATAACAGTTTAACACGAGAGGAATCAGTAGTCCTGAGACAGCAAAGATAGAAGCTCTAGTCTTAAAGAAGCCCGAGTAGTTTCACTGCATCATAAGAAATACTGTCATGAAGTCATACTGTGAATGATTAGCTTCTTCCTGGTTCATATAATGCAGCTGCAATGCTGCTGTGTTAGGGACACAGATCTGCTTGCGTGAACAAAGACATTCCCTTTTGGCGTCTCTTTTGTCGCCCTGCAGATACTTTTTCTGTTTCTTTACTCATTTTGATGTTATTTCTGTAACTTTTTCCAGACAATTTCTCTATTCCTACCTCACTCTTTTCCTTAGCCCTCTGTAAGATGCGCTCCTCAATGGTGCCTTTACATATCAACCGGTACACAGTGACCTGTTTGGTCTGACCCAGCCTGTGTGCCCGGTCCATGGCTTGCTGGTCTACTGTTGGGTTCCAATCACTGTCATAGAAAATTACCTGCAAAATAACACCACAACAGAAAGGATTAAATAAAGCTACGTATTTTAACTATTCTATGATTCTATGATTCTATTTAAAGCACCTTAAATAAATGAAAATCCAATCTACTGATAAAATAAGAGTTCTACTACACATCGCACAGAATTATCCCCCCACTGCAGGCTATATTAACTGAGCTTTGCCCAGTCCTATGAAGTCTTTTCCATTGCATTCCAGATGAATTCAAACTAATTGACACTGTAAATGTTTCAACTTCCACATCATGTCTTCAGAATCTTCAACAAATCTGCTTCAGAGGCACAAAATTCCTATATTTGCCACCACATTAAATTACTGTCATGTAATTAATTATAGGCTAGCCACATCATGAACCCATTTTAGTGTTACTTATCATAAGAAAAAGCCCTCTGAATTAAAATTTCACACAAGAGTAATACTCCAATTTTTTTTTCTTTCAAACCTGGATAAAGTCTAGTCTAACACTTCCAGTGCTTTTACTATAAAAACTTGAAATGCCACATTGTGTTCACATTGCCCTATCATTCCAACAGTACTTTATACACAGGAAGCATTCAAACCAAAAACATTTGAAAAAAACTTGGACAGCAAAGTATTGAGAAAGTTACAAAAACACAGAACTAAAAATGCTGTGTGAGGAGCCTGCAGGAGCATGCCTGTGCTTCCATCTGTTTATTTCCTCTGTTGAATCCACTTCAATCAAGACAACTTTTCAGCTCTGAAAATGCTACAGATACTTGCTTTCTTCTGGTTTCTTGTGACAGCAAGATATGGTGGGGTATTTTTAAAATGGAATTATGCAGTATTTTTGATTCAGAGTTCTTTGGTTTTGTGAGGCTAAGGACTACAGGCTGCCCTGGGGTCAAATCTGCATGCATGCAAGGGTCAGAAGCACAACAAGAGCTGTTACTGTAAAGATGGTAGGTCATGTAGGTCAGTATTCCTTCCCTAGTGATTAGAGACAGTTGCTCCAGAGTGCAAATCCTTGTAATTCACCTAAATCAGTATGCTTCTACACCTCAGGTAAGGGAGGAAGAAATGTATCCTTCCTGAGTAGCTGATATTCAACTACAAATTACACTGTACTTTTAGAGGCATTGCTTCATTCTTCTGTGCACAGAAAAATGCGTAATCAATACCTGTCCTACTGATTCCTTTGTAGCTGAATCTTAGAGCAAACAATCACACATGAAATAGCATTCACTGTATGAAAATATCAAGTGCATCTGTAGACCCCTTCAGCCATCCCTCCTTTCTAGACTCTGGTACTAAAGTATGTGTGGAGAAGGAAGGTACTTCCAAATACAACCCAAAACCAGGTACCATGTGTCCAGTATTCTACGACTTTATCATCGAGATAATAGACTATTGTAGTTATGATCAAAGTAAGCAAGGTTATGCAATTTCATGATGTGGATGGAAGCATGGAAAATATTGATCAGCATGGCTAAAAGTGCCAACTTTCATACAGAAAGACCAATTTTCCTACATAAATAGTGGGGCTGGGAGGTAAGAGATGAGCAGCTGGGGAGGAACGGTGGTTGGAGGCATATGAGGCAGGAAAAGCAAAGAAATACTTATACTGAAAACTACACATCAGTAAGCTGATTTTTAAATTCTGTATTACTTTACCAAACTTCACCTACCGTATCTGCAGCTGTAAGGTTAATGCCCAAGCCTCCAGCTCTTGTGCTTAACAGGAACACAAAAATATCATTCCTATAGAGGAAAGAGATTTGTATTGTGCATGATGAACAAGAAATAACCACTGAAGTAAATTTTTTGGCCCATATAAAGTGATCAGGGCTGTTTCTATTACTTGAACACTTCAGAACATTATGTGCTGTTCATTCATGGTCAAGAAAAAAAAAAACATATGAATGAGAGAAGTTAATCTACAAATCAGGATTGTTGGAACAGGCAAACATTCAATTTGCAATAGCATCTTATTAATCTCTATCAAAACAAACCAGGGCTTGTTTATCTTGCCTGAAACGGAAATTCAGATTTCATATGGACAAAGAACAATTCATTGTTTCACAGAACTGACCACTGTTAAAAAAATCTTGCCTGAACAATGCTCAATTGATAAAGAAAGAAAAATAAATGTTGAAACTGTGCAGATGCAAGTTTTGTCCTAAATTGGGTGTTTTGAACAGAACAAACAAGGAGACAGGTCTCTATGTAGGATGACCAAGTACGATTGAAAGCTCAGGTGGTAACAGTGAAATCAGGATTTCCACAATGGTTGTGAACCTCACTAGTGCTACTGAGGGGTCAGCAGTATTTAAAGTGTTAACCATAACCATAAAACCAAATGGATCTGTGAATAGGTTGACACTAACAAAGCAGTCAGGACTAGTAAGAAGTCCAAAGAGGCTGGCATACTGTACTTCAGCAGTGACAGAGCAAGACCATCTGCTTAAGAGAAGACACTCTGCAATGCCACATCCTTTTGGTACCAGACTGTCCATACACTAGTGTGTGCTAAGTTAGTAAAGCATTAGAAACTTCCTGAATGAGCAGCATGTGACCTTTTCTTCTTGACTATGTGTAGGCAGTCTGTCCTTGAAAATCCACTCATCAAATCTAAAGGGTCCTTCTTGCCCTTTCTGGAGGAAGAGTGGGTATAATACTGCATGATATTACACATATGCTAGTACAACCCAACATGTAAAAAAATAAGGGGTTTGGGTTCTATATCCTTGAATGTCAAGTAGAACTGATTATTTTCTCAGGACTCAAACTCCAAGAAATTCACAAGTAGCTGGTAAGGCTGTATCATAAAAAAACAGACTCTCAAAGAACCTTTTCTGGTCCAAGATTAGATATCCCCCTGTTCTTCTTAAAGAAACTGCCAACAGACAACAGAAGCAATTACGAAAACTATGAATTAACACATTAAAAAAAAAATCACCAAGAACTCTAAAATTAGAAATAGGAGGTTTCTGGCAGTCCAAAACCTAAGAGTACAAAACTCCACCCTGACCTATGGACAGCTGGGAGGAATTGAAGCTGAGCTGTCAATCTCCAGACTTCATCTTGCAGGTACAAAGCCAAAGGAGTCAGCAGGTGCCTCACAGTGCCAGGAAATCTTTTTACTCTTAAAACAATAGTGGAATGTGCACGTATAGGCAGTCAGTCACCTGTGAAATCCTTCTGGAAATGTAATATGGGAAGGAAAGAAAGTGGACAGTGCCACAGACTACAGGAACAAATTATCATTCCATAGCTCCATATTTTCAGCACCTTCCTAGGATATCCTGCAGGATCGTTTAGTCTCAGCCAGGCTTTTTTTCCTGGAAATATTTCTCATAAGTAAATCATGCATAAGAGGAACTTAACTAACATGCTAATAGGAATCCTTGTTTAGACTGGCTGACCTGTATTTC